GAGCAGATGGGATTAAAGCAGGCTTGGCCAAAGGAGCCTGAAAATGTACTAACCCATGAAAACTAACCTTCCTTTCACCCCCAAAAATGAAAAATGCATGAAGCTTTTACGCACCTAGAATAAACAAAAAAACCAAAAACAAACAAGGCTACATGGTAGCCGAAGAGGAAATGCTTGATAAGCAAAACACAGCAAAAAGCTGGGATGCCTAGACTTTCATCCGTCTTTCTGCTCATGATCTATTAAGGACTTCTCTGATACAAAAATGAGTTTATTAATATTGCCCATCTCCCTCCATGATCGATTCCACTGTCTGGCTGCTCTTCTAGTTAAACAAGCCAGCCAACCCCTCGGCCACCTTCACTGCCTCCTGAGATTCTGCATCTGCAATTTCCTGGCCTGCGAGGCCCAGAAGAGGCCTCTCTCAGAGGACAATTATCTCTTCCCAATGCTTAACACGTCTGCCTTCCCAGTATGCTTGCTGGGGAATTCTGGGAGTTGAAGTCCAGAAGTCTTTAAGTTGGCAACTTTGGAGAGCCCTGCTCTAAAGGATTTGCATTTGGGAACTCTTTGGAATTCTCACTGGATTTCTTTGAGCTGCTTCTGATGTCCCAAAATGCATTTTAAAAGCGTGGTTTTTAGAACTGGACACAATATTTGAGGTAAGATATGACCAATATTCAAAAAAGGGGGAAATAATTATTTTCAGTGATTTGGAAGTATGATACTGTTGAAGCAACCTAAAATTGCATTTACCCTTTTTGCCTGCTGCTGCCTCCTACTTAGGTGACAATTAGGGACTGTTAGAAGGACATTTTTATTACAATGTTACGAAGCTAGATGAAATCCCATCTTGTACCTCAACATTTGACTTCTGTTCTTGATTTAACTCTGTTTAAAAAGAAAAAAACTTACTTTAGCCTGTTTGTCTGTAGCCTCTGAAGGGCTCCTTGATTTTTTCCCTCTGTCTAAGCCATTTGCAAACATAGCCAATTTTTGTGTCATTTGCAATATTAATAAACTCATTTTTGTATCAGAGAAGTCCTTAATAGATTGTGGGAATGCTACAAGTACAATATATTTTGATTTCAGAAAAAACATTTGTTAAAAAGATGCAACTGCACTGACATGCAGATTAGGAAGCTACCGTAGTTACCTGTGAGCATGAATACGAGGGAAATTACCCAGCTAGGTTGCAAGTTGTGCTAGCTCACAATTGGTTCCTCAGGAAAGTATTAAATCAAGTGCTACCAGGATCGGTCCTGGATCCTCTGCTATGTTTTTTATTATTTTTATCAGATGAAAAGGTAAGAAAAATACTTATCAAATATGGAGATGATGCATTCAAAGGAATCAGTGTCCCATAGACGTGTTTTGGTCACTCTCAACCCTTGTTCTGCTCTTCCTAGTTGCAAGTAGCCCACCTGCCCTCTTGTTGGGGAAGAGAGCTTGTGTCTTTGCCTTAGGTGGTCAAATGTTGTGTGAAAAGAATCCGAATTCAATTCTGTAGACGTACCTATCTACACACATGCACATATAGAGGTAGTCCTTAACTTACGACCTTTCTTTTAATGACCATCTAAAGTTACCACATTACTGAAATGACTTACAATTAGTCCTCACTCTTAATGACCATCAGAGATTCTCCAGGGTCACATGATCAAAATTCAACCTCTTACCATACAGCTTGTATTTACAATCATTGCAATGTCGAAGGATCAAGTGATCACCATTTGCAACTTTCCCAGGCGGCTTCCAACAAGCAGTGAGGAAGCCAGACTGGCATAATGACCCTGTGATTTGTTTAACAATCAGCAAAAATGGTTGTAAAATCAGGCATGACTCATTTAACAACTGCATTAGTTAGCAACCCAAGTTCTGGTCACAACAGATTAACAGAGCTGGAAGGGTTCTTGTAGGTCCCAAGCAGGAGACCCTACCCCATTCCTGACAGAGGGCAGCCCAGTCTCTCCTTGAAAGCTTCCAGGGATGAAGCCCCCACAACTTCTGAAGGCAACTTCTCTTCCGTGGGTTGATTGTTCTCACTCCTTATTTCCAGGTTGAATCTCTCAGTTTCCATCCATTATTCTTGTCTAGCCTCTGTGTGCCTTGGAGAATAGTTTGACCCCTTCCTTCTCTCTGGGACAGCCCCTCAAGTATTGGAAGACTGCTGTCTTGTCTCCCCTGGTCCTTCTCTTCACTGGACTAGCTGTGCCTACTTCTTGTAACCATTCTTCATGTTTCATCCTCCAGTCCCCTAATCATCCTGGTTGCTCTTTGCACTTTTTCTAGAGTCACAACATCTTTTTCATAGTGGTTAAAGATTACCTGTACAGAGAATGTATCTAATGGGGTGCTTAACCCAACAAGTTAACTTGATCAGTTTTCAGGCTTTGCACAATACATTGGTTTATGCTGCCCTCAAAGCAGCTGTCCTCATGCTACAAATGAACTTTTTCCTCCCAACAGTGAAAATTATTAAAACTAAGTTGGGAGGCTGTGCAGTGCAGCAAATAAATCCGTAACTGACCAGGATAAGCATGTCACATGAGTACAGAGCAAGGGCTAGGTGGGATAGAATCACGGAAGACCTGTGCCTGGGGAAGATTGGCATTTTGCTTTCTCTGGGCAGTGGCTTCGTGGCGGATCACACTGGAGGCGTAGAAATTCCCAGGTTAAGCTGGAGGAAGGTCCTGTGGCTGCATTTCCTTACCTGGCGTAAGTCCTAAGGCGTTCCCACTGAATCTCTGTTCTGGGGCCCGATTGTGGATCAGGAGACCAAAGATTCTCATTGCCAACTGGAACTTTCATGCCGCTGCCTGAAGCATTTCTGCAGTTGCCAAGTTTCCTTTATTATGCAGAAAGAACAGAGCAAGCCACTGCAAGGTGAGCATCTCCAAATAAAAGCTTACACTTTGTGGGGGGGAGGTTTATAGACATGCCCCTTCTAAAGCAGACCAAAAGCACTCTGGGGCATCATTGTGTAGAATGGATGGTGGAGTTTTTGCCTTATAGCTGCAATTGTCATTTATTGTTATTTTAATCCTTGGAAGACTATACGAGCTGCATCAGACCATCTGTGAATGTCACTGTAGAGGTAGGACTGAGTTTTGGGCCTATTTTGGGAACCCTTTATGGTGAAGGCTTAGCACATCTATGTTAGTTTCTTCATGCAAATTGGAAAAATCAAATGGTTTATAAACTATTTGCAGCAGCGTGCCTGGGGCAGAGATGGCTCCCAATGACATGGGCAGGCAGGGGGGCTGCTCATCCGTTGTTCTGGAACCAGGGAGCAGCCACAAACCTGTGTTGCAGGCACTTCTCCACCCACAGCAATCAGAAAATGCAGCCGTGCAAAGGAGCCCCCCCCCCCCCCGCTGAGCATGTTGGCCTTCTAAGAACGGTGGTATTTGGAGAGGTTGAGGTTCAGCATCATGCCTGTTATTTGTACCTGGGCAAAGCAGAGCGCCAGTCCTCTAAAGGTAAAATCAGGAGGGGGCCTGGTAGCCCCACTTTAGTCAAAATGAATATTTTAATTAAAGGCAGAAGCCTTCAGTTCACTTTAGTTACTAATCTGATTTTTGGTCACCACACTGACACACACTCACTCCTCTTACAATGTTACAATATTGAGTAGCTGAATAAACCTGTTAGCCAGAAATAAGATGGAAATCCATTGGGAGGCATAATGCGCAAGACATTTGAGGCCTGGTTCATACAACATGCTATACTAAGCTAAAATCTGTTGCTAATTTGATTCATTTTGCACTGAAACTAGTTAACATGTTTTGTCTTTTAGAGACGTGTGAAAACAGAATTGCACTGTTAACATGAGTTTAATATGTTGTGTGAATCCAGAGCATTTGTGTAACTGCTAGCATTTCACATCCATGCCACAAGTGAAAGAGGCCTCACCCCCCCAGGGATTTCATGCTTCTTTCCACATCCTGTACCAATGGGGGGGGGGGCTAACCAGGAGCTCCCGTCCTTGTCATCTGGCTGGACTGATAAAACCTCTTGAATCAAACATTTGAATTACCTTTAAATTTTGATGCAAATCCAGTTCTAGTGTTGGGGAAACCAGCTCGTCCTCTTCCTCTTGCATCTGTCAAGACGGAGTACAAGCTGTTGGCCTCTCATTCAGAGCAAGCAAAATCCTGAAGCACTTGGTTGGAATAAGAATGCAGCTCTGGATTTTTTTGGACATGAAAATGCCCCCAAATAAGCCCTTATCCTACAAAGAGCCAACTTTGCTGCATTACCCCCAAGGTTGCCACTCTCAAATTAGAATACGTCTCCATTTGCAGGGGGTGGAATGGGGTGGCAATCATGACAATGCCCCAAATTAGCCAGACGCTGCCCACAAGTGTCCGGGCACTTCAGGAGCTCAAAGGACGATGCTGAACAATTCAAGGTGGCCAGTCTTGAGGACTTTCCCTTGCAGCACCAGTGTGCTTTCTGCTTAGTTTCAGCTGGATTCAACCCAGCAGAAGCCTCCCCACCCCCAGGTAAGAATCTGCCCCCCCCCCAAGAGAAGAAGACACCATGTAGGTTTGACCTTTTGCCATTAATTTATTTCAGAAATGTGAGGTAACAAAGTGCTAAGTCTGAACCACGCAGCCTGGAAGCTTGGACGGGGCTGGCTGACGAAGGTCCCAGCTGCTGCTGCTGCCTGGTGGATCTTGGGCCAGCAAGGGGGCCCATCACTCCCGAGATGGGGGAGAATGGGTGGGGCATGCATGAGGAGGAAGCAGCCACACTCCAGGCAAGCTTGGCCAAAGCAGGGGGAAGACGCTGCTCAGCCCCTTGCCCGTTAGCTAAGGCTGCCATCCTAACCTGGAACCCATTAATAAACAGGAGTCCTTGGCAGCAGATCAAGCTGGCAGTCCTGCACATCTCGCCAGCAAGGATCCTCGGGTGGCTCTTTCACTGAAGAAGAAGAAGAAGAAGAAGAACAGGAAAAAGAAGAAGAAGAGGAAGAAGAAGAAGAGGAGGAGGAAGAAGGAGGAGGAGGAGGAAGAGGAAGAAAAAAAAAAAGAAGAAAAAGAAAGGGAGCCAGTGCAGAGGTCTTGTGTAGAAGGAGTTTCCAAAAGGATGAGGCCAGGAGTCTCCCAACTTGACAACTTCTGAACTTCAATTCCCAGAATTCCTCATGGCTGGATGAGGAATTCTGAGAGTTGAAGCCAGAAGACTTAAAGTCTGGAGACCCCCACTTGAAACCTCCCTCTCTCCCAGCAGGTTTCGTGCAGCACACGGAGTTATAGCCCAGGGAAGGCAAGCTTTCCTCCACCCGCCATGCCCTTTCGCAAGACTTGCCAGCCTCCCCATTCACCAAGCCGCTCTCGATGCTTCTGCAAGCCAGGACTCGCACCTCGCCTGCTTTGCTGCCCTGAAGGTCTGCCCCACAGACGGGCTTTCCTGCTCTACCTGGGAAAGAAACCCCATCTTGGAGCCAGCCTGAAAGTGCAGGGCCGGCTCAGCTTCCCACCAGACAGGCCCCTGGGACATCTGCTATTGGCGCTTGCAAGCTGGAACCAGCCTCTTCCCTGCGAGAAGAATTTCCAGTCATCCCAGTTTTTGGAAAGCAGCCTGTTCCCAAGGGAGCCCATTTGAATCACTCCCTAGCAAGCCATGGGGGTGGCCCACCACCCTGACTGCAGGCGGTATATTTGGGTAGAGAAACGAGGGAGGGAGGGCAGGGGAAAGAGCAAGCATTTTACAAAAACAGGGGGAAAAATGTAAAAAGTACAAAAATACAGCATATATCTTTAAAAAGCAGTCCGGTACAAAGAATGAGGCCGTCACTACTTCAGATTCATTAGGATATACAAACACCAAGATAAGCCCTGGTTTGTCATTAAATGGAAAAAGAATGAGGTAAATCAAATTCAAGGTGATTGCAGTGCTGTTCTAGGGATGCAGTCAAGTGGGGTGGTTTTTTTTAAGCCTCCCCCCCCCCCCATGTGAGCTGGAGAAACTCTGGAGAGACAGGTGGTGTCCATGGCCGAAGTGCCTTTTGCACCAAACCCTTGGCATGGATTTCCTCCCGCAGGGGTTGCCCTCCCCTGGAATAAGGCCTGGAGGGGGCGCTCTTTGCTGCCTCTCCAGGGAGGTCTCAGCTCCCTCCACCCCCGACTCCAGAGCTGTAAAATAACCCTTTGCACAAAGGACCCGTCCACAAATTGTTGGAGGAACAGAAAAAGCCAATTCTAACCACGTCTTGGTCTGGCAGCAAGGAGACGAGACCGAGAATTTGACCCCCATCACATTATGAAAAAGCAACGAATGGCCGAAAGACCCACCCTCTTCAGGAGCTTCATGAATGACAAATGCACCATGGACTCCTGACCTCCACTGAGAAATGCTGCTTGAAACACCCCCTGGTTGCGATGAGGGTCTTGTCTAGTGTGTCCCCCGGTCCCTCTGGAGAAGCCGCAATCTGGGTCCAGCTGGGCCCACCAAGAAGGGCCAGGTGGCTGTGGGGCTTGGCCATAATCCAAGGTTGTGCAGCAAAAGCCACATTTTGGCAGCTGAAGCCCCCTCCCTCTCCTGGAAGGAGGAACAGAAATCAGATGCAAGCAGCAGAATAAGGACAAGCCCTGTATGAGGTGCAGTGGCAGTGCATGATGGGATTGACAGTCCATGAGGAATCTGCAACCCAAAACCAACTCAAAAGTACCGATCCAACGGAAAACCCGGGTGGCCTGGCCTGCTACTGCGTGGCCTGCAGGTGTGAAATCTGTTTCTGGAGCTGGAGCTGGTGCAGTTTCAGCAGCTTCTTCTCAGCCACCATTTGCTGCTCGGCGCTGAGAAGCAGCTGCAGGTACTCGGAGGCTTTGCTCAGGACCACCACTTTGGGGGTTTTGGGGCGAGAGGCGAGACCGGGCACCTGGTCCCTCAGTGCCAGGAAACGTGAGCGAAGGTCGTTCCGCCGCTTGCGCTCCAAGTAGTTGTGGTTTCTCCTCTTGGTCACATCCTCACTGTCTGAGCCAGGAGCACTGCCAGTCTTGGGGAGGGAAGGCACAGGAGGGAAGCGCCCCAGCCCCTGCCCGGGCGGCTGTGGCTCATCGTCCCTGGCATCAGGACTGACCTTCTCCAGAGGCCCCTCGACGGAGCGAGCCTCAGGTGGGGAGCGGGCAGCGTAGTTGTGCTGCTGTTGATGGATGGCAATGTGGAAATGCTTTGTGCAGGGGTCCAGGGGGTTGCCCCGCACTGTGATGGTGACCGGCTTCCGTGTCCTCGAAGCCTGCCTCTTCTCAACGGTCACCACGTCGATTTCTTCTCCTTCTGCAAACAAAGAAAAGAGGGAGGAATCAACGGGTATCAAGGTCCATTTCTGTGATTCAGGCAGTGGCAAACAACCAGTTAACTGAACTGAACAGAGCGGGCAACTGTAGCGTAGGGATCAAATTGAATGGACAGCACTTCACTTAAGCCCAGAAACAGCTCTAGGCTGGGTTTAAGCTGTGCTGTGGTTTGCTTGGTTTTGGTTTGCATATTATGCAAATCCAGCTAATTGTGATTTTCAACAAACCACAGCGAACAAAACAACAAAACGTGCCTCAACTTGTGTAAACCAGGGGTTCCTGTAGAAGTAGGTGAGCGCTTGTGGCCTCTTTCTTCAGAAAAGGTGGGTGTGAGCATCCCAAACTGCAAAGTGGCTTGATCCAACTCCAAGGCTGGATTCGGTTTTCCCATCAGATGCCTTGTAAAGCCAACCTTGGCCCTGCCAGAATAGGTTCTTCTCCAACAGATGCCGAAGGCAGGAGCCCGTCAAAGCCCGTTCATTCATCTCTCTCCGTGGGGATGACCTCACCTGCCTCCAGGCTGAAGGTTGTAAGACTGAGCCCTCGCTCAAGCTGCTCCCCTCTGCTTCAGCCCAGGGCCCAGAATCAGGAAAAGTGGGGCTCTTGGTTCTTGGGCCTGGACTTCCCCCTACGCCTTGCCCTCTTCCTTCCTCAGAGGCCCTAACAGTCAAGGATTATGTAGCAATTTTCCCAAGGAAAGATCCACTTGAGGGACCTTCTGCCATCCTCTTGTCACAATGGAGAGTCCCTGCCTGCTCCTGACCGAGGATAGTCGAGGGTATTACCAAATTCTGGAATGGCAGGAGACGCATCTCCAAACTCAAATACCTGGAACACTGAATGTGTTTTCCTCCTGACCTCCTGCGCCGCTCCTCGAGTAGGAAATACCATGCCCCCTTTGGGTCATGTTTGGGCATTTGGATCCCTTCCCTTTTTCATCAGATGTTATCAGTCTGCTGTTGGGGACTATTATGGTTTTGTTGCCATACTTAAGTAACCAAATGCAGCACAATAACCAAGTAAAACTCCTTAAAGCAGCAAACTTACACATCTATAACATAAGTGTCAAAAGATCAGAGACATTAAAGCTAAACTCTAAAATCTGACCAAGTGGGCACCTCCAGGCTGTCCCCATTAATTGCTTCTCAGCCTCAAGAGTGACCAAGGCAATGGAGCCGCGTTATTCTGAAGACAAAAGTACCCACTTGGCCTCCTGTCCTGTCCAACTCAGACCTGTCAGACTCCAGCAATCTGACCTGCACCACAGCAACCTCCTGAGGATTGGGAGGAGGGCATTTGTGCCCTCCAAATTCAGTCTGTTTAGAATGGCAGCCAAACAAGGCACGTTGTCTGGTACTCTGGAGGGGAAGAAATCTCTACCGCAGGGACAACAACAACAACAGAACAAGTCCCAATTATATCTGGTTGGGAAGCAGGACTGGAGTAAACTTTCTTGATTAAATCCACCTCCCATCTTTGCCCTGTTCTTCCATAGCTCATTGGAATTGTAAATGAAGCACAGACCTGGGGCGAGGAAGGGGGGGCGCAGGAGGAGAGGAGCTGGCTTTTGTCCCTTTGACGTGCCACTTCTCAGAAGCCATCAATCTATAGAGCCTTTCCCCACCTCCAGAGGCACAAAAAGGGACACCCCCTACCTCCTAGCCAGCAGCTCACCAAAAGAGAGAGAGGGAGGAGTCGAGAAGGGCTTGAGTAACTTCAAAAGAGACGCCTCTTTCTTCTTCTTCAGACAAACTGGCTGGGCTCTCTTGAAAGAGGGGCAGCCTTTTCCAGGGAAGGCTGCCGCCTGTCTAAACTCGCCTCTCTCTAAATTCCACCCTCTGGTTCAGCTTTTCTCTTCTTTGCTGAGGGCTCCAAGAAGAAACAGCCAGAGGAGCCCAGGAGCAGAAGATCTTTAACGTCAAAGATAAAATAACAGATTGGGAGGGACCTTAAAGATCTTTTAGTCTAACCTGCTGCACTAGCAGCAGACTCCATTTCAGACAAGTGGCTGTGCAGTCTCTTCTTAAAAGTCTCCAGTAATGAAGTTCCCACAACTTCTGAAGGCAAAAGCAGTTTCACTGGTTAATTGTTCTGTCAGGAAATTCCTCCTTATGTCCAGGTTGAATCTCTCCTTATCCAGTTTCCATCCATTGCTCCTTGTCTGGCCTTCAAGGTGCCTTGCAAAATAGTTTGACCCCTTCCTCTCTGTGGCAGCCCCTCAAATACTGGAAGTCTGCTCTCCTGGTCCTTCTCTTCCCTAGACTAGCCAGGCCCAGTTCCTGTAACCATTCATCGTATTTTTTAGTCTCCAGTCCTCTAATCATCCTGGTTGCTCTTCTCTGCACTTTTTCTAGAGTCTCAACATCTTTTTTATAGTGTGGTGATCAAAACTGGATGCAGTACTCTAGGTGTAGTCTTACTAAGGCTTTATAAAGATGGTTGGATGCACCATATTTCTCACTCTCAGGACCCGAATGCAGTGCTCATGGGTTACATGTTAGACAACAATAATGGCAAGATCGTCTTGCCATGTGTTTTATTCAAATTCAAAGAGATCTATAGAGATCTGGGGGCTCCATGTCACAACAGTACTGAAGAGTAAGCAAGCAGAGTTGTGGGGGGGGGGGCTGGAAAGGGAGTCTGGGGGAATGCTCTCCCCGTCCTCTACAGAGCCCCCACCTGCACTTAACAAAATTATAAATGGATCACTACTTTTGGAGAGTAGTATTTTACTGTGTGCACTTTGGTTCTGAAAACAGCATAAAACTCCTAAAGTAAAAGATATGAATACCATTATGAATTCCCACTTCTGTTTCTACCACTTGCTTTACATTTTGAAGCTGTCCTTTTAAGCTTCCTTTTTCACAATCTGACTTTTTCCTAGGATTAATATTGTTTAAAGAGCCAGTGTGGTCCAGTGCTTATTAAAGCTTCAGGCTACAAACAGGGAGGCCCTGTTGGCACAAAGCCAGCTGGGTGACCTTGGGCCAGGCACTTTCTCTCAGCCCTAAGGAGGAGGCAATGACAAGCACTTGTGAAATCTTGCCAAGAAAACTGCAGGATTCCTAGAAGCAAATCTCCAGGAGTCAAGGAAGACACACACACACACACACACACACACACACACAAAAGAGCCTGACCATTGGTTCCAGGATGCAACAAACTGATGGATCACATTCAGAAATGCCACCTCCTTCCTATCCCCATTGGCTTCTCCTCCAGCCACTCATTAAGCAGCCACACCTCCTCAAAATAACCCAAACATGAACATCTGTTGCTTTTTGTCCCTGGCTGAAAAGGGCATTTGTGGACAGAGCCCCCTTGTTGGTGGGGGTGAAGTCCATGTCAATACAAGATCATGAGTCAATCAATCAGTAACAGGTCCCACCTCTTTGCTAACCCGAGAAGCCTCTGCCAGACCTGCCAGGGTCCTCCTGCAATTAAACCTCACACCTGATCTGTTTCTTCAGCCTTGCAGGCTGAGTCACCAGGCATCACCGTTCACCTAGTGATTCAAGCCGAAGAGGGTCAACAAGGCTTGAAGCCTGGAAGTGGAGCGCAGTAGTAAAATTACAAGGAGCCTCCCCTTCCCAGTTCAGCTGCTCTTGCCCCCTCCTCACTTTGTCTGGACTCTCTTTTCACCAGAGGGCAGATTTCACCCTGGAATTAGTCTTTATGCTGGAAAACTTTTTCCAGAAATAGTAATTCTTCACTAGAATGAGTCCGTAAGAAAGCACCACTTCCGAGAGCATCTCTGCCATTGCTTATTTTACGGAACACTTGAGCCATCACTATCTACTTACACACACACACACACAAAAGGCTTTGCAAGCCAGGCGCACTCAAACTACTCGAATACCAAGGCAGTTGGGGAATATCAGTGCTGGAGTAGTAAGAAATGGGGGAGATCCCTCTTTGGGTCTCAGCCAGAGAATCAACCAGCAAAAAGGTGGAGCTGCTAATTGAGGACCTCACCTGCTGTGAATGCACCAAATGGGCTGAGCCAGGTGAAACTCAAATCCAGCACAAAAGGGATCAAACTGCCCTAATAGCAGCCGATTGGACCAGGCATAAGCAACCCGTGCAGCTTATTTGTTGAACAACCGTTTCCGGGCTCTGATGATACGCTGAGGACAGACAATATGCGAGCCGACCATTACTCTGCATACCTTCTCATGCCCTTCCATTTCCAATGGCCCATCTCCCCCACCCATCATGCTGCCTGTCTGGCCATGTTTGCCACTCTTCCCCTGAAGTCTCTGGGTCTCCTACTACATCAAAAAGTCCCCGCCCCCATGTTAAAAAGGCTGGCTCTCTGTCTCTCCCCCCCCCCCCCACTTTCCTGCGGGTATATAAAGGGGGGGGGGTGCTCAGTCATTGGAAGTCTCTGTTTTTTCTTGAGATGGCTCCAGCACCAAGTGGGTTCCTTCTTACTGCCCTTCGGTGCAATTCTGAGCGTGAACTGTGTGCAGCCAAACTCCGGAACTTCAGGCATGGTTTGGCTGCCCTCCCCCCCCCCCTTCTTGATCCCCAAGAACATCGTGGCTTTCAGGTCATTTTAAACGCCAAGCTGCGAATGGGAGCGAAAGAGACGCGGCGGCTTTGGCTCTATTCACCAGCCCGCCAGGCTTTTGTGATGGCACCTGCAGTGGTCGGATGCGAGCAGCTTTGAGCTTTAGGATGCCGCCGCCGCCGCCATTCCAGGCCTTCCAAGAATGGATAGTTAGGAACTGGGTTTAGTTCCTAGGATCGCAGTGCAGCGGAGGCGCCCAGAAGCTTGAAGCGGCCACGTCCAGTTCCTCCGGGAAATGCCTCCTCCTACCGGGGACCCCGGGCAGCCCCCACCGTTCGTCCTGCAGGCCCCTCGGGCCGGCTTCACTCACCGGGCGGAACAGCCACGGCCTCACCTGCCCTGCCCGAGACTGACCCAGTCCCGACCACAGGCGGCTAAGCCAATCCTGGGGTTCGTCCGGGGACCCCGCCCTCCCTCCGCCAGGCAGCTTCCCTGGGAACCGGCCGAGGAGCCGGAACTGCCGGGGCAGCGGGAGAGAGAGGAGCCCGCAAGCAACCTTGGGAAGTTCGCGGGAGCAGCGAGAGAAGCCCGGAGGGGACACGGCAAAGTTCCCCGCGGAAGCCGAAATTCCCGGGGAGGCTCCAGGGCAGCGAGGGGTGAGCAACGGGGAGTTGGGGGCGACCCTCCAGCTCCTTCTCGGCTACAGGCCGGCCTTACCGGAGTCACTCTGGCTCTCGGAGCCGGACGAGACCGGGATCTTGGTGTCCGCCGCCGCCGCCGCCGCCGCCCCCCCGCTGCCGCCGGGCCAGGCGAAGACGGCGCCCGGAGCCACGCACTCGCCGTCCAGCCCGCCGAAGTCGTGCGCGGGCGCCAGGGCCGGCGGGGGCTTGGCCGCCAGCTTTTCGCCCCGGGCTTTCTCCAGCCGCTCGCGGGCCGAGGAGCCGCTCCACATGCAGTCGCGCAGCACGAAGGCGCTCAGGTTGCCCAGCAGGCCCGCGGCGGGCTCCGGGGCGCCGTCGGCATCCTCGGCCGGGCCGGGCAGGGGCGAGGCGGGCGGGCTGGGCAGCAGCTCGAACTTCTTCCAAATGTCCTCGTCCTGCGCCTCCCAGGGCTCGTAGAAGGAGGAGGGCGGCAGCGGCGAGTCCAGCTCCATGGCCGGTAGGCGCCGCCGGGGTCGCGCCCGCCGCTCTGGCTTCTCCCGGGCGGGCCCAGCGCCGCCGCCGGGCAGCTGCCGCGCGCCGCTCCGGGCCGCGCTAGAGCCTCGCAGCAGCCCGGCTGGCCCGGCGAGCGACGGAAGCGGCGCTGCCCAACCCCCCGCCAGGAAGGAACCCCGCGGATCGGCGCGACCCAGCCGGGCTAAGCCGCATTGTTCGCAGCCTCCGCCGCTTATATGGGCCTCCCGCCTCCCTCCCGGACCGTCCCCGGGACGCAGCCAATGAGCAGCGCCGGATGGGCGAAGGGGGCGCGGACAGGCGTCGCCCTCACCTTCCCGCCAGGCTCGCCTCGCCCGCGGAGCCCCGCCGCCGCCCGCCCGGGAGGGAGGGAGGGAGGGAAGGAGGGGGAACGGCGGCGTCGGTCGCTCCTCCGCGGGGCCCTCCCGTCCGCTCGGAGCCCCAGGCTCGGCCTCCCGCTCCCCCTCGGGTGCAGCCGATTGGCCAGCGGCTCAAAGCGCGGGGAAACCTGAAGCCGGGACGGAATGCTCGGCGCTCGACTTGAACGGCGCTTTTGTGCCCCGAAGGGACCCCTCGGATCTCGTCACGCAGCAGCAGATGACGGTTTGGGGGGCCTCTTGGGGGGGCGGGGGAGTTGCCCCTCCCCCCTCGCCCTCCCTAGCGCCTGGGAAGGGGGCCTGTCTCGGGCGCTGGGCCTTCTCAGCTGAACCCCCCTCCTCCTGCGGGTGCTGCCTTCAAAAGGCCTGAGGGACAGAGAGCCCCAAATGTCTGGGGGGGGGGGGTCCCGTCCTTCTACTCCCCCCCCCAATATGCCAGGAGTAATGCCAGGAGGGAGGAAGAGAAGGGAAGCAGCCCAGATAAGCGCCTAGGATTCTCCTTTGCAGATGCAGAGTCACACAGCAGCCCCGGAGGAGGCAGATTCTGGGTGGCCACAACTGAGGCAAAGGGAGCAATGCCCAGGGCTGATATGCACCTGTAGGACAGGAGTCCTCAACTTATAACCCTTTAGTGACAGTTCAAAGTCAAAACATCACTGGAAACAGTGACTCACCACGTTGTCGTCTCCCACGTAGCCCTTGCATCATCATCCCCATGGTCACGTGGTCAACATTTAGATACTTGGCCACTGACATAGAAGGGACTTTGGAGGTCATCCAGTCTGGTCCAACCAGAGAGCAGGAGAGTATGTCCCAAATATTAGCCGCTACCTAGGATTGAACTCACCACCTCCTGATTACGAGGTGAGAGCTCCACCTCTAGGCCAGCACACTGGACCATTCAGCATGGACTTCTATGAGGGTTGCAGTGTCACCTTTTGTGACCTTCTGACAGTCAGTGGGGAAGCCGGATTCACTGAACAACCATGTTACTACCTTAACAACTGGCAAGAAAGGTTGTAAAATGGGGCAAAACTCACTTAACAAATGTCTCGCTTAGCCACAGAAATTTTGGGCTCGACTGTGGTTGTAGGTGGAGGACTTTCTGCATTGTGTTCTATTTAAGCATTACGAGACCCACCTGTGCCAGGTTGCCTGCCGGAAGGACTGAGCACTGAGGCTGTCCTTCATGAGATCCCAGGGGGAGAGAGAAAATAATTGGCAATTGAATATAATTTGAACAATGTTTATTCATGGAGAATCCTACCTGAACAGGGAAATAAATGCAGATGAGCAAAATTGCACCTTTTCCGCCTGTTCCAGAATCAGAGCTGCTACCTATTTCTTTTGCTGTGCTGGTTTAAGGGTTAACCAGCCTTCCCGAGTACCTGGAAAGGTCACATGACAGATTGGTTCAAAATGAGACTGTTATTTTTAGTGATCCTGCAGGTGTATGTGTATGTGCTATGAACTTACTCTTTGGAGAATGCACACACCATTTTTACACACTTAGTTTTTGTCCTTTTAATAAGATTTGACTCCCAGCAATTACAAGGATAATGTCCTGAAGCTTTCTGGGCAACTTTTTCAGACGTGATTTGCTGTTGCCTTCTTTCTCCGAGGGGGAGTGACTGTCCAGGGTCACTTGCTGCCTTGCATGCCCAAAGCAGAACTAGGCCTGCTTCCTCCGAGCTGCAATTCTTTGTTCAACATCGCCATCTCCTGGTAAATTGATGGCATCGCATGTGTGTGCCAAACATTGACAACATCGAAAACTGTGCAGCTGCTCAGTGGCCAATCTTTTGGTTTCCCCACCAGACACCCAACTTCTAAAATGTCTTTGATTATCCAACTCTTTGCCCAGTTCAGGCGGTGCTGCCAGCTGGGCTTCTTTTTGAGTGTCATTGCTCATTCTCTCAGCAACACGAACTGAGTTGGAAGGGACCTTGGGGGGTCTTCTGGTGGCCCACTCCATTCTCACAAGGAGACCTACACTATTTCTGACAGGTGCCTGTCCAGTCTCTTCCTAAAATCTTCCAGTTTGGGGGCACCCACAATTTCCGATGGCAATTTGTTCCCTTGGTTAATTGTTCTGTTAGGAATTTTCTCCTTAGTTCCAGGTTGCTTCTCTCCTTGGTTAGTTTCCACTCATTGGTTCTGGTCCTGCCCTCAGGGGCTTTGGTAAATAAGTGGGCTCTCTCTTACTTGCAACAGCCCTTCAGGCATGGGAAGACTGCTATCCCGTCACCCCTGGTCCTTCTTTTCACTAGGCTACGTAGACCCAGTTTTAGCTTCTAAGCCCTTAATCATCTTTGTTGCTCTTCTCTGAATTCTTTCCAAAGTCTCAACATCTTTGTGTTCTGTATCGGGGTGACCAAAACTGGCCACCCCAATACAACCCCCCACTCTTCTCAAAGACACTCTTCATCACCCAGACCTTTGGTTCTGGAAGCAAAGGGCTGTCCCAAACTTCTGAGACTCTGTCACCGTTTGGAGTCACGTTGTTGATGCTTTTATTCATGTGTTACATGCATATGCGGCCTATCTCACTCTGAAAAGCAGCTCCGGTCTCAGGACACCTGCTTGAAATGCAAGAGGACTAGTTCAAATGGTAGGTAATCTTCACAAGCATTCAGAGTTCCGGCCAAACCAGCCATCACCGTTTTCCTTGATTGTCCCAAATCATTTATTAAATTTATATAGTTCCCATCTTGCTGTTTGGGGCAACTAATTGGTGGTCTGCAAGAGGAATGCAAGTGTTCCTTGGTATGGCTGCTAAAATAAAAGCATAATTTTCAATGGCAAGTCTTAGAAAATTGCTACCTCTTGCAAATTCTACTTACTTCAGAATCTCATAGCATTCAAATGAAAATGCTTGTTTTATTTGGGTTTCTATGGAATCCAATAAAGATATGAGGTAGATTGTACTTGAAGGTTCCACGTGGCCAGTCATGTTGGAGAATCGGCCTTGCCTCCCAGCCTTTTCCCCCCAAGTTATTTCAAAAGACACCCTGATTCTTTCCAAATTAATTTCTTACAGACTCATAATCTTAACCTTGAGGGCCAAGACTTTTCTTCAGGAATCACTCCATTTCTCAGTGATTTTTTCAGAGTCCTGTTGTATAGTATCAGTGCTCCTTCAGCACCACAGACAACCCAGCTTGCTTTTTTAGGCATTATGGTGGGTGCCAGAGAATAAGCTCACTGCATTGACCCAGGAGGAGAAGAATTCTCCTTCTCATCCAAAGTTCATTTCTTGGAGTCATTGCTGTAACACTTGGGACAGTCCATCTTGACCTTCCTGCATTCTTCCACTGTTAGCCCTGCTCCTTTTCACCAGTCCCACTGATCTACAAAGGATAAATCCAATTTTTTCTGCAACCCTTGAAGAAGGGAGGGCAACCTTGCGAGAACAAGGAGTTGTTTTTCCTGACCTTCTAGCTAGTTCTTCCTTTCTCCCAATCCATCTTGCAGCATCCCAAGTTAAGTTCATCTTGCAGCATCCCAAGTTAAGTGCAGCATGGAATTAACCCTCAGGTATTCTTTCTTAAGACCAGGCTTCCTCCATATGGGAAGAACCCCAGGGGAACAGGCTCCATGGTTCCTTCCCCACCAACCATTATGGCTCCTCTTCCAAACCATTGCACTGACCGCCTACAGGGTTGGGACAGTCCCGTGGCTTCTTGGAGTGCCTCATTGAATTCCCCTCCCTTGGATGTGCTAGTAGAGAGGATTCAAGCAGCCCCCCCCCCCTCCCTTGCCCTGTGGGGCTTGCAGTTCCATGGAAGGTGCTGGGCATAACAGAAAGGGCATCTCTCAAGTAAGCACTGCTTCTGCCTCAAAGAGTTCCCAACTCTCCCTCTGCCCCCAGCCAGGGTTTGACCTCCTTTAGGTCCAAAAATGGCTCAGGAATGATTGAGGCTTGCAATTTCTAGGCTTCCCAATTTCAGCAATGCTGAGCAGCATGCTTACAACAGTAGAAATTCAAAAAGAGGGTGTCATCTAAAACAGAAACCACAGCCAACTCCCTCTAGGGCAGGGGTCTCCAAACTTGGCAGCTCTTAGGACTTGTGGACTTCAACTCTCGGAATTTAGCAGCCAGCCATGAGCTGAAGTCCATCAGTCTCAAAGTTGCCATGTTTGGAGACCCCTGCCCTAGGGTTCTGGCAGGTATTTGAAAACTCCATCATGGATAATCAATTCTATTTTTAATCATGACAAGTCCCCTTATCACCAAACTACTTTTGGCCTTGAAACAGTCCCACTCTTTATCCCACGTTTAACATTTATGAATTCTTAGACATTTTTTTACTTTAGCCTTTAAGACAAAAATCAGAGTGGGGTGGGGTTGTAGAGTTGGTAGCTAAACAATGGAGAAGGTAGTTGCTGGCAAAGAGCCTTGGGGGAAATGTAGAGAAATGAAGATTGTGCTGTAAATAGTTCTGTATTTTTCACTAATCTCTGTAAATTTACCTGTA